CGGCTGTCACAGGCCCCGCTCGGGGCAGATGGCGAGACGCCGACCGAAAGGCACCCGTCGTATGGCGGGATTAAAGTGTGCGCTGTAGCCGGGTGAGCTGCAGAGACGACAGTCAGCCCAGCTGTTTGAAAAGTATCTGCCCTAAACAGAACTGCTCGGACATGAGCAAATACTTCTTGCCACATGCCCGGCCCCCCCAGCTGGATTTTTCTGCTGTGACAAACCATTTTTGGTGTTAAAACGCTACGGCATTCTGCAAACCTTAGCAGCTTCCAGCTCTGCCGGAGCAAGAATTTGAGGTAATCGGCAGAACGCTGCAAGAGGGACCAGCAGAAACACCAAAGCTGTGCCGCCTGCCATGCTCGCCTCTCACCAGGACAGTAAACGAAGCGATTGGCAGGCCCAGGAGCGAAGGCTGGCGTTACCAGCTGCAGCCAGCTGTTGCGTCGGTGCCGAGCAGCGCCTACAGTGCGCTTTGTAGGTGGGGACCTGTGTCGCAATGTGACCCTGTTCGCTAGAAAAAAAATTTTGCAAGGAGGGAGGGAGAAAACAAAATCCCAAACCAGGTGGCAGATCCATTTTCAAGCTCATTTGAAAGGGTGTCATCCAAGCAGAGCAAAATTCAAAAGCGACGGCACAAGTGGAGAGGAATCAATTCAAACACAAATTTTGCGTTTACCAAACCAGTACAGCACCTCCAGCAGTTGGGTTCCCTCCCCATGCCGCCTCTCTTAGCTGAGAGCGGCAGTTCTCATGCTGGGACGCTTCAGAATGACATTAGATTTGGCCTCTGTCTTCTTAATGTCCCGCTGGAAATGGTTCGTCTGACTTCCTTCCGCAATGCTAATCAGATTTACAATAAGCAAATCGTGTATAATTAAAGGCCCAATAATCAGATCCCCCAAACCTACCATGTACCATCTTTATCGTCTGGTGTAGGACTACGTACACATAAAGCTCAGTCTTTCCTCCACACTGCAGTGAGTCATTTTTGAAAGGCCATAATTAGAGAATTTCCATTCTCCCTCTGCATCTACTCATTGCACAGGAAAAGAAGAACAAGCTAAAGCAACCTTAGGTGACTTGTAGATCGCTCAAACCTGAAATGTTAAAGTTTGGGCTTTTTTTCTTCTTGTTTTAGGTAATTCCAAAGCATAAGTTTGTCCTTGTGAAATTCGACACACAATATCCTTATGGTGAGAAACAAGATGAGTTTAAAAAGCTGGCAGAGAGCTCAGGCTCCAGTGAGGATCTGCTGGTGGCTGAGGTGGGAATATCAGGTGAGGAACGCTGGATGGATTAATGCAGCGCGGGTTGGGGCGGAGGAAATAAAATACACTGCCGTTCCTGATGAAAAGCAGGCTCTGAGGTAATTCTGATCACGAGAAATGAGATGGGCTTGGCCCTGTCAGACCGAAGCACCTGCTGCGGCTGGTCGCTGAGCTCTGCTGCTGTGCCTCCTGCCGTGAGCGTAGGAGTGCTGCTTATCTCCTTTCGGCTGGGTAATGAAGCAAGTCAGCCCACGCTGCTAAACTGGATGCCACCCCCCTCATTCATAGCACTTTTTGGCTTTTTTTTTTCTTTCCTTGCTGAGAGAAAGCTTTTTGTCCATTTTTAGGCCTTACAAGAATCATGCTTTAGCCACAAGCCTGGTCAAACAAAGCAGATGTGGTCTGATTAATTCATTGTAGCAAACCCTCAGTTTATTGCTGGTAGAGCACAGACAGTGGTCATTGTGCCATGGCTGGTGTAACTTGGTGTTCTTGTTGTTGGCTTTAAGAGAAAAGCGATGAGGAATGGATCACTGTCACCTTACCCTTGCTTTGTAGGTAGAATTAAGAATTTATGTTTACAGGAGTTGTCAAGCTGGGAGGTTTCACCCACGCTGACACCTGCAAACACACATGGATTTAGCTAAGTAACGTAGTTGAAATCTCTTCAAATTATATTTTCTGTCCTCGAGAACAAATGCAATTTATGTAAGATGAGAAAACATCTTGTAGCTTGGCATGCTGTCAGAACTAAAAGATGGGAAGTGTATACTCTCTGCACATAGATCAGGAAAAAAAATCCATTTAACTGTAAAATAAAATCAACAGATAGAGCAAAACAAGGGAAAAAATGGCTATTAATTTCCCATAGGGAGGATGGGGTTCATACACAGAGGTTCTGCTGACATCTCATGCTGTCAGTCACAGCAAAGCACCACTAGAATCTTGTCTTGTTCTTTGGAAAACCTATTGATGGTTTGCCTTGCACAAGTGATTTTCTGGGGTGTTTTTGTTTCAGTGTATGGCATTTCCTGGCAAAGAGGTTATTAGGACATGCGGAATCTCTGGAGCCAAATATTTATCAGTTTGTGTAGGAGACAATCCTGAATTAATTTTTTCTTTTGATTAACGTGCTGTGCTTTACTGTGTTTCGTTTTCTCTTGACAGATTACGGTGATAAACTGAACACCGAGCTGGGAGAAAAGTACAAGCTAGATAAGGAGAAGTTCCCTGTTTTTTACTTGTTCCAGGATGGTGACTTTGACAATCCCTTACCTTACAGCGGCCAAATCAAGGCCGGGGCTATTCAGCGCTGGCTGAAGAGTAACGGCATCTACCTGGGGATGCCAGGCTGCCTGAAAGAGTACGACATGCTGGCCAGCAAGTTTGTGAGCACCACTGAGAAATCAGAACGCCAGTCCCTCCTGAAAAAGGGGCAAGAGAGTTTAGAAAAAACAAAAGAAACGGAGAAGAAGTCAGCTGAGCAATACTTGAAAATTATGAGCAAGATACTGGAGCAGGGAGAAGAGTTTGCTGCTAATGAAGTCGTCCGAATCACAAAACTCATCGAGAAGAACAAAATGAGTGATGGAAAAAAGGAGGAGCTCCAGAAAAGCCTCAATATCCTTGCTTCTTTCCTGAAGAAGAATAATGAAAAAGATGAGCTCTAATGTGTTGGAGAACTTTGTACAAGCTGTGAAACACTGTCAAGAGTCCTAACCAGTTCTCCTTATGCAAGCAAACTTCCCGCTGACTTCAAGAGAGCAGCAGATTTCCTTCTGGTATTCTCAGTTTAGAAGATCAACAGGAAGACATTCCTTAAAAACAAAGTATTCAAAATGTTGGAAAAATCACCTTAAAGCAAGACGCCAGTATTGTGTAATACTATTCAATAACAGTGTTAAAGTAGACCCAAAAGAAAAGCACTAGATTGGCCTGAAGCACATTCCTGGTGGTTTTTACAGCTATTCCCTGGCAAACAAATAACAAAATTCAGTCTCGCATTCCATCTTACATGTTGTGAAACGTACAGATCGGGTGCCCCTCGCATCCCCACCTTTCCCTGTTCTTAGTGTCCTTGGGTTTTGTGGTCTTTAATCTACCCCTCCTCCTCCTACCTTTTGTTTTCCCAATAGGGCTCCTTCTCCAAGTCTTGTTCTCCTTACCTGTTGTTGACTAAGAGACCCGGAGTTTCCTTTTTCTGCCTTCTTCAGTGACTCCCGTCTCTGTTTGGCTTGGGTATCGGCCAAATGTTGGCAGGCGTAGTCAGGACAGATCCTCCACGTATCAGAACTTGTCTCTCATCTTCTAGACAAAGCAGCCATCTCGGCAAACGCACCCCTGAAATCCTTTGTGATACCCTGACAGAGCAAGTGATTTGAGTTCTAAGCAAGGGCTGAGTCTCCTTGTGGTGCTATTACACTTAGACTTGCCAGTTTGTGCAAAAACATGTTTTTTTCAGAGGTAAATTTGGGTGAGTTTTCTTACAGCTGAAGAGCACGTGCAATGCCTGTGTGTTTTGCCTGTCCTTCCCGTCCAAGCTTCATTTCCCAGGGTCAAAATAAGCGGGGTGGGGTAGGGGTGTGAGACCAATAAGGACATCTGAAAGTCTCAAGCCATAGTTAACACGAACAAAATACCTTCTCCAGCCTCATCTTCAGAAGAGATTGACACTGTCAAACTAAAGCTTCATCCGCGTTTTGTAGTTTTAAATACTTGAAAATGAGGTCTTGTAACAGGAAGCAGTATTGGTGCCCTTAGAAGCCCCGTCTATACAATTTTAACGGAGATACCTGGCCCAGGGATCAGATCTGTCCAAAAAACTTGATACTGCATGTGCTGTTCACGCTGTGTGGAATTCAGATGGCCACTGGAAGATGCTGTATTCCTGGTCGGGGTTATAGAGAGTTCAAAAGAGAAACAGCTGTGTGTTTTACCTTAAGACTACGCTTTAGGCTAAGCAAAACTGGTTTCTGTGGGAGCTTTGCTGCCTTTTGAATCCTGGGGTGGGTACAAGGAGCAGGTATTGCTGCAAGATAAAATGTATTAATAATGCTATAATAATAATAAAAAAAAATTGGTTCCAATTAATATCCACTTCTTAAACTGCTTTCTGGAGAAACTGCTGCTCGTTTTGCAGTTGGAGGGGAAGGCAAAGGGTTTACACCAAGCGGTGGGAGGGTGTCCCTCGGGCCTGGTGCCCTCTGCCCCTTAGGAGGGGAAGAGGAAGGAGCCCAAAGCAGGGTGGGCTTCGGGGGGGGTCAATCTCTTAATGAGGCCTGTGTGAAGACGAAGACGAAGATGACGAAGACGAAGATGACGAAGACGAAGATGACGAAGACGACGAAGACGAAGACGACGAAGACGAAGATGACGAAGACGAAGGCGCTCCCCGGTCGGCTCCTGAGGAGAGCGCCGCC